CCCACCCCACGACCCACCCCGCGACCCACCCGCGACCCACCCGCGACCCACCCGCGACCCACCCCGCGACCCGCCCGCGGCCCACCCCGCGACCCACCCGCGACCCGCCCGCGACCCACCCGCGACCCACCCGCGACCCACCCGCGACCCACCCCGCGACCCACCCGCGACCCACCTTCGACCCAAACCACGTTCAAGGTACAAACCAACATTTTCGGCGCCTGCGGCGGGCTTTTTTTGCATTCCTTCCAGGTGGAGAGCCCGCGACCCACCCCGCGATCAACTCGCGACCAACCCGCGACCCAAACCACGTTCAGGGTACAAACCACATTTTTCGGTGCCTGCGGCGGGCATCTTTTGCATTTGTTCTAGGTGGAGAGACCGCGGCCCACCCGCGACCACGTTCAGGGTACAAACTACATTTTTCGGCGCCTGCGGCGGGCATCTTTTGCATCCGTTCCCGGTGGAGAACCCGCGGCCCACCCGCGACCCAAACCACGTTCAGTGTACAAACCAAATTTTTCGGCGCCTGCGGCGGGCTGCTTTTGCAGGAGGACGAGGAGGAGAAGGAGGATGAGGATGAGGATGAGGAGGAGGAGGAGGAGGAGGAGGACGAGGAAGGGGACGACGACGACGTCGACGACGACGACGACGAAAAGGAGGAGGGGGGAGGATCGGGAGGGGGGGAAGAGGAGGAGGACGACGAGGAGGAACATGACGACAATGGGAGGACGATGATGGAAGGACGAGGGGGGCAGAGGGAGGACGAGGAAAAAGCGGAGGAGGAGGAGGAGGAGGAGGACGAGGTGGAGGAGGAGGACGACGATGACGATGAGGACGAGGACGAGGACGAGGAAGAGGAGGAGGAGGCGGAGGAGGAAGAGGAGGAGGAGGAGGAGGAGGAGGAGGAGGAGAGCGCCATCGACAGGGAAGGTGGGGGCCACGAGGTCCGCCAGCTTGACGACGCCCGCGTCGCCCGCGCCCGCCTTCTCACTCTTATCCGCAATTGCGGGGTGCTACGTAGCATACGTTATTTTGCTTGGACATGTTCTGCCCTGCTCCAACCCTCTCAAGCCCCTTGTCCACCGCCTCTCCTTCCAGCCGACTCTCCCTGCTGATGGTCTCCTCCATCTCGCCCTCTCCCTCCTCCAACACCCTACAAGCAAGATCATTTACGTATCCCGTCATAGCAAACTGTTCCATCCAGTCACTATCCCATGGTAAAGCGGCCTCTAAAAAGGTATGCCAGAGCTTAATGACGTGAGATCGGCGCAGCACTCAAACACCGGTTCAGAGGACGTGCGGCAGAACAGTTGAATCGCCCATGTGTCTCCTGGAAATGATTAGCTTTTGACCTGGTTCCAATACGACTCAGTTGCGTTTTCGATGAGAAAGATATTGTGGGTGGCACGGTTCATGATGAATGTACGGCTTTCAGGAGCGTAACAGGAGCCAATGCATTCAATTTGTTTTGTCATGTCGTATTGTGTAGTACCCGATTATAGTATCATGACAGCGCCGAACGCGAGAAATTCCCGCCGCTTGCAGTCTGAAACTGCCAGCCACCTGAACTTCCATAGCCGTCTCCCTCCTCCTCTTCAGGCTCCCATGGATCCAGTTGAGAGGCTCCCATCTGGGACTCTTGCGAGCCAGCTCAGCAGCGCGATACGCTCGGCCAAGCGTGCATATCACCATGATCAGCCTCTCCCCCTCCGTGTCCAGTTTCATGTTGTTCTTGGGTATCCGTGCAGCTTGGGCCGAGTACCAGGGTATTGGGAACCTTCTATACTAACGGCACGCGACCAGGAGAGCAATGAGCATGCTCCGAGTTGTTCGTAGGGGGGGGGGGCCCTCCTCGGAGCCCAGGCCTGTGTCGGCCTTCGGTTAGCGATGGTTCGTCCATATGGGGTGCATCAGAAGCCACAGGCATTAGAACGGCGTGGTCCACCGCGGCCACGTGCGCCAGAACGAAGCTTCCAAACACTCTTAGTAAGTTCGTTCCAGTCCTCGGCCGCCAAATACATTGCTTCGCTAGCTTCGAGGGGGACTCGCTCAAACGCATCTATCTCGCCCATGATGGCGTTGGTGTCCTTACTAATCTCAGCGCAACCTCCTAACAAGGGGTCACTCCTCATCTTGCGAGCCCAACTCTCAGCCGACGCCCCAAGCCTGGGATGACCGCGAACCGCCGGTGTCGAAGTCCGCGCCATTCGACATGCAAGTAATCTGGCTAGCTTCTGGACGAGGTAAGTGTGCTGTTCCGCTGCTGCTTTCCTGATTTCTTGACATCGTCACTCTTGAATGTCGTGCCAATGCTGCTTGCTGTGCTTGCGGATCTTATGGCTCAGCTCGTGTGTCCTCCTGCTCTCCTCCGTGCCTTGCTGCTGGTCACGCGATGTTCGCCTAGAGGCTAGCAACTCTTTCAACTCTACCAGGTGCTGCTTGTGCGTTTCCTTGTGCATGGGGGATATCTTCAACGTGCTCAAGACGGCCTCGATCATCACGGAAAGGAAAACCTCATTCATTTTGTCCACCATACTCTCCTCCCTCGCCTCGTTAATTTTTGGCCCGTGCTCCTCCGCTAACCTCTCCATCTCCTCAAACACCTCCCGTCGTTCGAAGCTGAACGCATTGATACAGCGCCTCTCTGTTGGGCCTGGGCCCCCTCAGCGGCATGGTTGAAGATGCCAGCTGCACTGGGATGCCGAGTGCTACCGGCCTGTGGTCACGAGCTTCATTGCCGCCCACTAGCTGCAGCCGACTCGCCGATTTACTCAGTACCTGAAAACTCTCCACAGATTTGCACGGGCCCCTCGGGGTCATTACGTGGTCAATGTAGCTTGTGCCCCCCTTCAGCGGGTGGACTAAAAGTGTCCACACGTGTCTCGCCAAAACCTTGAGTTATCAAAGCACGTCGGACAAACATGTATACCTCCCCCTCCCCCAAATTCAAAGTTGATGGGTTTGGGCGGTAGGCCAAAGGCCAAGGACAAGATGTGGACTCTTGAATTATGGGTTTGGGGGGGAGGGGTGCGTTTCGCAGTTGTAGTTGTTATCATCTTGCATCGCCTTACCGCCATGGGTGTGGACATTTGTTGTCCTGGTACCGTTGTTCGAGGTGAACGTGGGGGCCGTGTCGAAGTGGGTGTTTATGCTCGTCATCTCCCAGCTGTGCAGGAGCGGACGCAATCGAGCTGAACTGGGTGTGATTCTGCCTCGGCCAAAGCGCCCAGCCACAAGATCGTGATCATTGTGAGGAAATGCGCCATCCACGTCCTTGCACAATATGGGAAGGGCTCCACGCTCGCGAAAGGAAGGCTCCAGCAACCCGCTTCTTGAGCATCTCTGGAGTCCTCTCGCACTCGACACGGGCAGCCCTGGTCGTCTCTGTCGGCAGGCAATAAACGGAAATGATGCGGATGAGCATGCCACATCTTCGAACAAGTGCGCTAGTGCATCTACCGCATTTAGCTTGGGGCACTGGAAGGACTTGCTTCAAAGAGCTGGGGGGGAACCTGTTTCTCCGTACCAAAAGAATCACTCCGCATGCTCGACTCGTCACTGCTCCCAGCGAGAAATGCGATTCGGTGGTCCGATACTTGCGCACCGCCCTCCTTTCCTACCCCTGTTCGCCCTTGGATTTCGTCTGCGTTCCCGTGGGCGAAATGCAGTCTTTGATCCCCAAGTCCCCAATCAGTGCTTGCACTGAAGGGTCCTAGCGGAGTTTGAAGGATTTGGCGAAAGTGTCCCGCCGATGTTGGTGGCCGGCTGGGTTCCCGGGTTCCCGGTTCCGGGTTCCCGGGTTCCTGGTCATTGGTTCAAGTTCGATTTCGGCGGTTTCGGGGTTCCCGGGTTCCTGGTCGATTTTTTTATCGATCTCTTTATCGATCCCATTTCAAACCATCACTTGATTGGGGTTTTTCTCTGGTGCAATCTGTGATACCTGTCAGTCTAGCGTATGTGTTCGATGCCATCATATTGTATTTCAGATTGCGCAAGAGCTCCGCCGCCACCGCAACGGGGCGCGGACCGCCGCCTGGCGCCGCGGGCTCTGGGGAGTCTGCCTCTCGAGGAGTGTATTGAAAAGAGCCGCTTCACGGGTGGCGCATGTGCTGCTGGCGCCAGTCCTGGGCCACGTGAGGAATGACGCGGAAGAGGAGGAGGAGGAGATGGAGGAGGAGGAGGAGGAGGAGGTCGGGAGCCTTGAGACGGGGGTCAATGCAAACGGGAGTCAGCCAGAGCGCCCGACCTTGCAGGATCCTGCAGGGCCAGGGTCGCATTGACCCGGGCTTGGGTGCAGAATCTTGCAGGATTTTGAAGGATCCCCTGAGTGACCCGAATCTGGATTGACACGGGTCAGAAGATCCCCGAGGAGGAGAAGGAGGAAGGGGGTCATTGTTGCCATACCCATGCGTTGCAGCATCCTCTTGAATCTCTGCTGCTCCCACTCGTCTTGCACACCTTGGTTCTCAACGACGCGCGCTTCTGCAGTACCAGGGCGGGACCTTTCTTATATCCAGCGCTGCGCTCGGAACTGCTTTTGTCTCCTATCGTTGCCACCAAGACGCGACGACTTAAGCACGCCAACGTTTGTCCAACGCAAAAAAGGAGGACGACGATGAGGGGCAGAAACGAAGAGGAGGAGGAGTTGGAGGAGGAGGAGGAGGAGAAGGAGGAGGAGGGAGGAAATTCCCGTCCCTTTCCGAGAACCTCGGGGATCTTCATGTTCCAGAGGTGCAGAAAAAACGTCAAAGACCATCGAAGGGTCTCGCGAATCTGCGGAAGCGTTCGAGCGCGTGCGGAGTGCTGCTGGGACGGCGACTGCCGCGAAAACGGCCACGCCAGCGGCGACGGCGACGGCGGCGGCGGCGACGGTGTCGTCGGTGACAGCAGACGACGACGACGACGACGGCGATGCCGGCGACGCCGGCGACGCCGGCGACGTTGGCGACGCCGGCGACGCCGGCGACGGCGGCGACGGGCGGCGACGGCGCACCGCAGCCGGGGGGCCAGCAGCCGGGCTCCCCGGGCCCGCCGTCTCCCCGCGCGCGGGGGCCGCGCGCGGGGGGCCCGAGGCGCGGCCCCGCGCCGCCGCCGCCGTCGCCGCCGCAGCCGCCGGAGCCGTCGCAGCCGCCGTCCCGGCTGCTGCCGTCGCAGTCGCCGCCGGCGCCGCCGCCGGCGTGGTCAGCGACGACGGCGACCTCTCCTCAAGGGTCCTCGGGCCTCAGCAGGGCCTCAGGTCGGGTGTGGCCATCCGGGGACCCCGTTGGTGGTAGGGCCCCGGAGCCCCCAAGTGGACCAGACTCGCCAGACCAGGTCTGCCGTAGCTGGTGTTTTTCGGGTGGCGGCAGTTCCGCTCAGTGGAACGGGGCGTGGAGGGCCTCCCCCAGCACAAATCACTAAACCAGGTCCCGCTAAACCCAGTTCTGCCAACGCCCGATCAGATCTCAGGAGTAGCCAGCGTTCCCAGAGACTCTTCAGAACTCTGCGGATCGTTGATCTTCTCAAGTGGTCGTTTGATTCTCCCACGACTCGCTTCCGAAGTGAGATGGCTCCACGCGACCTTTGGGAAGTTCACAGGATAAAAGCGCGAAGGCCTTTGTGGTTGACGTATGCCGTCGTAGTCGTCACAGCCATCGCCGTCGCCGCCGTCTTCTTCATTGCCAAGCCTCTTTTTACGCCTTTCCCTCCCTCCTCCTCCTCGCGTGATGCCGGGAACGATCTTCGTGCTTCAATCCGCGGGCTGGACGGCCTTGGAACCGTGGGATTGGGTTCACCCGTGCGTTGATAGTTATATCGTTTCTCAAATTAGTTGTTGATGACGATCGAGATTGGGAATTTGTCCTTGAAGTTTTAAAAGAACCCTCAGACTTTCGGCGTGGAAGTCAGCTGCCAAGCTTTATAACGGTGGAGGCCTGGAGCATGGAGCGGAGACCTCGGACATGTGTGAGGCGACCCGCGCCATGACCAAGAGAGGGCCTAACAAGTTTCGAGTCTAACAAGTTTCGAGCTGCTCAGTGCACGGTTATCGCGGCAGGTTTCTGGCCGCGCGACCGCTTGTTCCAAGCATGGTGAAGGCAGAGAGCGACGTTTATCCGCGGTGTGGCCATGAGCCTGACACTGACTTTTCGCCGCTGCTGGGCGTGCCCCCGAGCATAACCAGATCCCGAGATGCTAGCATTATGTCGGGCCTGTCCCTCGACGCCCGACTGAATGCTAGCACTCCCAGGATTTATAATAGGATCCCGCGGTGGCGGGGGCCGCTGCGCACCGCTGCTACTGGCTGCGTGACCCCCCCCCCCCGAGTGCCGTTCCCCCGCGCTGGTGGCGCATATTCTCCCGCGGGGTCTACGGGAGGAAGGTCGAATTTGATTCGTTGACGATGCGTCGGGAGGTTGTTTTTCTCGTATACTCGCTTCCGAGGGGGGCCTCATGGGCCGCTGTTGCTGTGGACTGGGGTGGCGACCCTCAGGGCGCTGAGGCGGCGGTCGCCGCGACTGGTGGTTTCGGGGGGCCCCTCCTAGGGCCCAGGCAAGGCATCAATGGTGTTGGTCTGTGTGTTTTTAACGAGGCCGTTGTGGCCACTGAGGGTAGGAGTCGAACGTGTGTGACGGACTGTGCACACGTGCGGCGAAGTCCAAGGGCTAATTTTGGAGACCTCAGGGCGGCTTTCCGTGTGTACTTGTGCGTCTACATATATATATATATAGATGTATAATGTGCATATATATATATATATATATATACATCGATGTTATCAAGGTCGAGAGCCACGTTTCCGAGCAAAATGGCTCGAGAGCCTCTCCCGAGATGCAGGTTCCTTTCACGGTTAACATTGTTGCGGATCAGTTTGCTAAACAGTTCTCGCCAGACGCCCAGGTACATTCGAGCCAGGCGGAGGCGTTGCGAGAGCTAGAGACGGAGTCTAAAGACATCCGTCGGAGATTGGTCGCGAGTGCAGGCGTCCTTCAGCTCGGCCAAGCCGAAGCTGGACTTGCCACGCGCCCTCTCGGACTCTGTGCACTTGCTTGGCGCGGAGCCCCGATCCAGTCGTCGTCGGGGGCACTGTCGTTTGTGTGGTACCGAACCGCCCAAGCGCAGCAAAGGTGCTGTCATTAAGCGGCTGCCGAAGCCCTGCACCCCGCCGCACCTCCTTGACCCTGGCAGCGGTGCCCCGCGTGAGGCGGGGGAACTTTTCCGCGCACCCGTCGCACACGATGAGTTCGTGGCAGGTGGGGGGCGGGCTCACGCAAAGAGTTAATTCTAGCCTGCTCTCGTTGTCATGGCCTCGGCACGGGCCATTGCAGAAAGAGCGGGAAGTTTGCCCAAGATTGCCAGTCCCCCACCAGGACGGGGCTGCAATATTTGAGAGCGTTCGAGAAGGGTTGGGCGCCTAGCACCACGAAGCTGGCCCAGAGAGGTTAAGTATCTTAAGTAACAGTTGTAGTTGCGCGCAGCGCATCGTCTGATCTGTTATTCTTCCTTGCCCCGCGACCTCCT